GTTACCCACCCTCCGTTGGGGGACATGGGGGAGGAGAATCGAGCCATCTCCATGGGCTGCTGGACCTTGACTGGGAAACCAAGCTGTGTGAGCCTTGCACTGCCCACCCCCTCCCACCCGACTCTTGAGTTACGTACTAGAGGACGCAGCCTGAAAGACCCTCCCTGTGAAACCTGTCTGTGGATGAGGGGGTTCCTGTGCGCCCAGGAAGAAAGGACTGCCTGACCAGGGCAGTGACAGAGCCCGTGCCCCGAACAGTTGGCTCATTTTCCCATCTGCCTCGTCTTTTCAAAAGCCGAGAGTCGGATGTGAGGGCGATCTGGCTGCAACATCTGTCACCCCATTGATCGCCAGCGTTGATTCGGCTGATCTGGCTGGCTAGGCGGGTGTCCCCTTCCTCCCTCACCGCTCCATGTGCGTCCCTCCCAAAGCTGCGCGCTCGGTCAAAGGGGACGACCTTCCCCAATAGAGGAGAGGACTGTTCTTCGGTCAAGGGTATACGAGTAGCTGCGCTCCCCTGCTAGAACCTCCAAACAAGCTCTCAAAAGCCGAGAGTCGAGTTAGTGGTCCTCCAATAGCCAGTGTGCACCATTAGCTTTGTTCCATATCCACTTTGTCTCTACTCTCATTTTTGTTTTTGGGTCGAGGTGGGGTGCACGTACACACGTAGGCTTGTGGAGAGACATCCATTGGTTCATGTGCAAGAACAGTGTCTGGATAGCCTTGAAAGGGCAGAGATGTTATTCAGATGGAAACTAAGAGCTACCTGGCCAGGTGGGGGAGGGAGGGCCTCACGAACCTTCCTGTGGGTCGTCTTTAAGAGACTCAGGTGCTTTTAGCTCCGGTTGGCGAAAGCACCAGCTGCTCTCCTTGGGTTGTGTTGCCTCCCACAGGGGAAGCCCCCTGCCATCTCAGTCCCAAGTTAGGCAAAGTTCAAGTTCACTTGAGGGGTGAGTCTGTCCTGGGAGAGCAGGATAGACCAGGTGGCAGGGAGGGAACCCTAATTCTGCCCCAAATGCCTTACGAGATCCAGGAGGGGTGACAGGCTGGGAGCCACACTAGGGAAATGCTTCCTTCCACTTCCATGAAGGAGCGCAACAAAATCAAGTTATTTAACCTCCCTGAACATGTTTCCTCATGTAAAAAGTAGGGGGATTGGACCAGGACCTCTAAGTTCCCTTTCAATATTAACATTCAGTGATTCATTCAGAGCCTCACTACTCAATGTGTTGTCCGCGGACCAGCAGCAACTGGGAGCTGGGTAGAAATGCACACTCTTAGACCAAACCCCAAACTACTCCATCAAAATCTCTGTTTTATCAAGATCCCCAGGGATTCATACCCCCCTTAAATGTTTTAAAGGACTGATTTAGGTCCTGAAGATGCTTAGAATTCCTCTCAAGGTCATCTGGTGAACACAAAGGAGCAATGGAGTGTAAGTGATTTATAGCCAGCCACGGTTCTCCACCTGTGGTCCATGCCAGAATCACCCCAGGAGGTTGTGAACTTCAGACGTCCAGGTCTGGGGGTCACAGTCTAGGTCCTGGGTACGTGTGCTATGAGTAACCTTACCAGCCACTTGGAGGGAGAGCATGAACATATAGACATGAAACCATATGGGTCGCAGATGATAAGACGAGTAACATCCTGTAAGAGGGTGTGACAGGACCGAGGGGCAGCAAAGCAGACAGAAGAGGTGGAGTGGAGCAGGCTTGTCATCCTGTGTCCCAGGAAGAGTGCCCTCTGTCCTTATTTTTTGCATCTCCACCACGAGTTACATAGGGGGTCCTTCTGTGGGCATCTGTAGTTATCCCTTCTTTCTTTTTTTTTCTTTTTAAAGATTTTATTTATTTATTTGACAGAGAGAGACACAGCGGGAGAGGGAACACGAGCAGGGGGAGAGGGAGAGGGAGAAGCAGGCCTCCCACCGAGCAGGGAGCCCGATGCGGGGCTCGATCCCAGGACCCCGGGATCATGACCCGAGCCGAAGGCAGATGCTTAACAACTGAGCCACCCAGGTGCCCTTATCCCTTCTTTCTTGAGTAAGAGTGGAAACCAGGGGGAGTGTAGTTTTTCTGTTGTATTGTTGTCTATGTGTTTGGAGGTGATGAAAAAGACATAAATATATTTGTATATGCTGAGGAGAGGGCACCCAGGGACACCAACATTACAGGAGAAAGAGAGCTGAGTGATAGGGCAGAGCCTGAGGGGGGACAGGCCCACCACACGTGAGGTATCAGCCTTGGATGAAGAGGTGCTTGCAGCTATAAGTGCCAGAGGCCCCCAACAGACGTGGCCCAAACCGTGAAGAATAGGTTCTCTCAGTGTCAAGGATCAGAGGTGGACCGTCCAGGGTACAACCGGCTTGGGACTCTGGGAGGGTTGCCCCATGCGTCTCCTGACTTTGCCCTGGGTCAGTCCCCAGGGGCCAGTATGGCAAGACCCAATCAGTGAAGCCAAAGATGGGGTTTCTCCTCTTGTGCCCTGACGAGGAAGGAAAATGAGGGGTGACTGGGGCTGGGGGTGGGATGGCGGGCGGCCTTGAGGACCCGCAAAGGCTGCCTGTGCGTCATGGCACCAGTGGCAGGAAAGACACAGGTCTGGGGAGGGAGTGACCATGGGGTTGTCCACTCGGCGACTGTGACACTAGGTTACACTAGGGATGTGGTGCTTTGCAGCTGAGGAGGAGTAAGGGGGTGAGCAGGGAAGGCTCAGAGGTGACACTGGAGAAGTGGACAGTGGTCCCTGTCTGGAGGGGACACAGGACGAGGCAGGGCTAAGAGTCCATGCATCTCAGGTGCTGGAGCCCCCAACCTGCCAGCTTGTTCTATCTCTGGGACACAAGAAGCCAAACACGGCTCCGCAGGATCTTTTCCAGATATTAAGCCATCAGCCAGAGTTCTTCCGTGCTGCAGAGTGGAGTATGTTGAAACTGTGCGCCTCTTTAGAAACAGGGGAAGAATGAGAAGCTAGTTGAGTGGTATCGGGGTGCCGTCAGTGCAGCCCGTGAGGGGCTGGAGGGAGGGAGAAGGCCACTCCCGGTCTGCCGAGACCCTTCTGCTGGTGACACTTCCGGTGCAGATGCGCCTACTCCCACGCCCACGCCCCACGCCCCACGCCCACACACTCCCAGCGCAGAGCCCCGCCCCCGGGCCCTTCCCCTGTGTCTTCCTTCTTCGCTCCTGCTGACGCTGGCCTCAGCTACCTTCTCCTCAGCCATCCCTGTGCCCCTCCTTCAGGGACCTCCCCAACTCCTAAAAGCCCAAAGTCAGTGATGAGGAAAGAGGATAAGCTCTGGAATGGGAAGGGAGGATCAGGATCTGAGGGCAATGATTTTCGGGTCCTTTTTGACTTGCGTCAGGCTGGGGAGGGTTGGAAACCCTGGGTGTGTCTGTGTGTGTCTCCTCCTTCCTTTTGTGTGGATACACAGGCACGTGGATACACATAAACACACACATCCATAGGGGAACAGCCACGCACGCACGGACGGGCACGGGGCAGGCACCTCAGGCGTGGGGACACACACGGACCTGAACACACGTGCAGAAATGCAAGCACGTCTCTACGTGGCCGGGTGTAGGTGTCTGTTCCCCTGGGGTTTCTAAACCCCAGCTATTCCTGATTCTCCTTCTCTTCTGGTTGAGTAGAAGTTCCCAACCAAGTCAGGAACACACACCTGTCAAACTGTGTTTTAGGCGGCTGATCTGTATCTTACAACAAGAGACTTTTATTTTTTGAAAAGTTGCCTGTGGACAAATGAAGCTGCCACCACGCCTCACCTGGACCACAGAGTTAGCGCAGGTGTGAAAAACTCACAGAGCGTGGCCTGTGTGCCAACATCTGGCCGAGCCTCCTCATTCCTCCCTTTGTGCCCTTGGAAGCCATCGCTCCCTGTGTGGCCCACCTTCAGCGCTCAGGCCCCTTCCAAGTAGTTTGTCATTAGCTGGGGCAACTGAAACCTACAGCATCTATGTGGAAATCTATGCTTGCTTGTGGAAGAGTTAGCATTAGAGTGGTTTCTTCCTAGTCCTGTGGCATCATTCCATGTCAGATCAGGGAGAATTTCTTCCTTCTTCTAGAAAAAAAAAAAATCAGTGCTCGGGATATGGGTGCTTGTGTGTGTGTGTGTGTGTGTGTGTGTGTGTGTGATTGTTTAAAAACAAACTGCTGGGGCACCTGGGTGGCTGTCGTCAGGTGTCTGCCTTCAGCTCAGGTCATGGTCCCAGGGTCCTGGGATCGAGCCCCGCATTGGGCTCCCTGCTCTGTAGGGGGCCTGCTTCTCCCTCCCTCACTCCCCCTGCTTGTGTTCCCTCTCTCGCTGTGTCTCTCTCTGTCAAATAAATAAAATCTTTTAAAAATAAATAAAAATAAATAAAAATAAAAACAAACTGCCAACATAGAGTCTGTAAGATTTTTGGAATGAGAGCAAATTAAAATTAATAATAAAACAGTTGTTTCCAGGGGAGACGTGTACTTAGAGCAATGGATTGCCAGAGGGCCACGTGAAAACATGGGAAGAACCCTTCACTAGGCTTCAGAGCTTTGAGTTTGGGTTCTGGATCCACAGAGTTTGGCTGTGAGACCTTTAGCTGTTGGCTTAATTTCTGAGTTTTGCACTTTCTTCACTTAGTAAAAAGAACTTAATATGTTTTGCCAACCTTCAGGGCTGCTAGAAGAGTGAATGAACAAATGTGTAGGAAAATGATTTATTACTAACAAAGTACTACACAAAAGTCAAGGCGTTACTGTGGTCATAGGGGTAGTAAAGTAATGGTGGCTGGGACCATCTGGTATACCCATGGCTGAGAAGGTCTTGCCAAATGAAAGCAGAAGGTCTCGTTCCCATCACTCTAGTGAAGCATTTCCTTCTCTTGTCCCAGGAGGTTAACAAATGCTCCCCGGCTCGGACAGAGAAGCTGTAGGTGGCAGGAGATGGGAGAACGGTGAGGAGGGTAAGCCTTTTCCAACCCTTCAACTTCGCTTGTTTCAGGGACAGCAGAATGAAAGAAGTCATGTCCAACAACAGCACCACTAGCATCTCGCAAGCCAGGAAGGCTGTAGAGCAGCTGAAGATGGAAGCCTGTATGGACAGGGTCAAGGTAAGCACACACACCAGCCAACCTTACCCTCTGACCAAAACCCAGCTCCAAGCATTCCCCCCATTTCCTTGTGAGATTTAACACGTCACCCAGCGGAGCCGCCAGCCAACCCTGGCAGCTGTAACATTTACAAATGAGTGTTTGCCTCCAAGTTCCAAGTGTGCTCAAGGATTCAAATGATGCAGAATACACAGTGTGCATGAATTCCGTAAGGAGCTGCCAAAAATAGACTCGTATTCATCTCAGCTCTATTTAGCTCTGTTGTCATGCCAATAAGGGAGAGGGTTTTAACAGTGAGATCCATCATCGTTTTCCTGCCCGATGCAGTGACTTCGAGGTTAGACCACGTTGGGTATTTTGACAGGGGTGCTGTTGGGAGGGAAGCAATGAACCGTGCACCGTGTTTTCAAATGTTCCTGTGGGGAATGTGAAGAGAGGCACCAGTCACCTCCCACCATGTTCATTCCCCTGATGAGTGTAGATCTCTTCACGCTGGGAGGGCTGAGGCAAGATGAAGCCACCTAGTCTCCAGATGCTCTCAGAAGCCAGCAGGGGGCCAGGCAAAGCATGTGGCTCTCCAATACCATTTGGGTTCATCAACTATCATAGAGTTGGAACCCTGTCAGGACTCTGACACCAGGAAACTCAAGTCCAGTGGTCTTTGGGCACACAGAACCAGGGGTCTCACCCAGGCATCTGGGATTCAAAAAGGACGGATTGCAGGGGGTAATGGGTGAACCCTAAAGCCTTCTGCTGGCAGAGCGGACAGTCCCTCCCCAAGGTTCCCAGCACTGAGACCTCCCCTCCTGCTGGAGTTACGGCCAGAGAGCACCAGCTCCTGCCTCTGTCGGGACAGTTGTGGGAACACTGGGGCTTTGGGGTTTGAGCTATCCAAGGAGGCAGTAAACAAGCACAGAAAGTGACATAATGATATCTGAAGCAAGGAGGGAATACAACGTGATACAAATTGCCATAGTGCACCAGTATTACTCAGGGGTCTCCATCTTGCAAGTACTGATAACAGCTACAAATTAGGCTAGAGCAAAGGGCAAGGAACTAAACAATTCTAAAGGAGGGAGAGGGGCGCCTGGGTGGCCAGTCAGTTAAGCATCTGTCTGCCTTCAGCTCAGGTCAGGATCCCGGAGTCCCCGGACTGAGCCCCTGATGAGCAGGGAGTCTGCTCCTCCCCCTCGCTCAGCCCCTCCCCGCACTCGTGCGCGCGTGTGTGTGCGCGCGCTCTCTCTCTCAAATGAATAAATGAAATCTTAAAAAAAAAAAGATAAAGGAGGGAGAGCCCCAGTAGTACAGACATGGATCTCAGAATGAGATCCAGAGGACAGACATTTGCTGAGAGGATGAGGGTGGTGGGGAGACTCGCTCTTTTGATAAACACGCCTGTGGACCTGCTCTGCACTAGGCGTGGTGCTGGGATGCAAACACGCGTGGGCTGCCCCATCGTCTTGCTCAGAGAAGGAAGGCTTAGTGGAGCTGGGAGCTGGTAGTTGGTTCTGAGGTGGTATTGGAGGGTAGGGAAGGCTACCGTGAGCTGAGCATGGCTCATTTGGAGCAGCTGGGCCTGACAGAAGAGCTGCGGGTTTGCCAGGAAGGCCACTTTGGGCAGCCTGGGGCAGCCTGGCGCAGAGCATCCAGATGACGAAGTGTGAAGCTGGGGCTGTGAGATGCACTGACCTGCCAGCAAGAGTGAAGTTGTCAGAGGCCAGGAAGCTGCCAAAGCTGCAGAGACAGGCGTAGAGTGGAGCAGAGCCCAGAGCTGGGATCAGAGAGGCAGACACACCAAGACACGGGTGCAGACTCAGAGAGTCCGTGGGAGACACTAGGGAGAAAGATTTAGAGCCCAGCTGTCCAGCTCCGTGGCCAGAGACTGGAAAGACAGTGGGCACTGGCCTTGGTGGTGGGACAGACGCTGTGCCGGCAGTCTAACAAGGAAGATAAATTCTGTAATTTATTTAAATTATACCCGCGACAGGCACCACCACCCTCACCCGCGACGGTCACCACCACCCTCACCTGTGACAACCACCACCATCCTCACCCGTGACAGTCACCAGATGTCCCCACAATGAAGGACTCTTCAAGAGTCACTAAAGTCCCATGCAATGTCTCTAGAAGAACAAGGAGAAATCATAAACCAACTCAAAGTCAAGTTCATTAGATGGTATTCAGAAGGGTAGGTCGTCCTGTTCCTGCGGCAACCGGGTGATGGAAGTGCAGCTCCTGGATCCCAGGAGAGGGCTTCCTGCAGGCATCTTCAGACTCTGTGGTGATTCCGGGGAGGGGGCCGCTGATGGCCACATCAGGTGTGGTTCAGAGCGGGCAGAGTTTGGTCCTTGAAGAGATGACCCAGGGCTTCCTGAGGAGAGAGGTGGCCCCAAGGGACCACATCCCCGCTGGAGCTGCGCAATCGCATGTGGGGGTTTTCCCCCTTGCTCCCCAAACGTTGAACATTTCTTAATTTTTTTAAAAAATGTGCTAAGATACACATAACGTGCAGTTTGCCATTGTAACCATTTTTAAGTGTACAGTAGCATGAAGTTCATTCACAGTGTTGTGCAGTCATCGTCCCCAACACCCGTCTCTGGAACTTGTCCTGATCGCCAACAGACACCCTACCCCCCGATTCCCAGCCCCCCCAGCCCCTGGCAACCTCTAGTCTACTTTCTGTTGCTATGAATGGGACGATTCTGGGAACCTGATTCCTACAAGAGGAATCGTGCAGTGTTTGTCCTTTCGCATGTGACTTATTTCACTTGGTGCACGTCTTCCCCAAGATTTGTCCACACCGTAGCGTGTGTCCGCACTCCCTTCCTTTTTATGGTTGAAGAATATTACATTGCATGTACCACCTCTTACCTACCCATTCACCTGGTGATGGTGTTCATCATCTTGGGCTGCTTCCGCCTTTGGGCTCTTGCGAACAGTCCTGCTTTGAACATGGGTGTGCGAGCGTTTGGAGTCCCCAGTTTCAGTTCTCTTGGGTAGATACCCAGACGTAGGATTGCTGGATCATATGGCAATTCTATGCTCAACTTTTTGGGGAACCACCACGTTTCCATAGCAGCCACACCATTTTACATATCCCCCAACAAGACACAAAGGTTCCATTCTCTCCACATCCTCACCAATACTTATTTTTTTAAATAATAGCCATCCTCCTGGGTGTGAAGCTCACGTGTGCTTTTAAGTGCTAGACGCCTCTTGCTTCAGGGCACAGCAGGGCTTTGGGGAAAAAAATCTATTTGATGCAGCTTTTGGCAAAATGAGGTGTGTATTGTTATCATTTTAGCCAGACAATAAAAACAGAAGCTGGAGAGAGAGAGAAACCATCAAGAACGCTCCAAACTGACCTTAATAAGGACCTTGAGGAGGGAGGAAAGAGGAGGAGAGTCACCAGGGAGAAGTGGCCTTTCTGGAATGGGTGAGAGGTCACTGCAGGAGAGGAGGAGGGAAAAGAGGAGCCCGGAGGGTCAATGACAGAGGGCAGGCACCTGGAAGGAGGTGAGGAGCAGTTCCTAGAATCCCCTGAACTCAAACGAAAAGTGATGGGAATGAGGGGGAGAAGGGCAAGCTGTTGCGTGGGGAGATGAATACGCCCTGCTTTTCCCTGGGCCCTGGAGAGATGGGGGAGCGTGCTGTGCGGCAACCATCTGGAAGCTCTGTGGAAGGAATGAGTGCAAGTATGAGGCCCACGGAGCTGGCTCCCAGGTGGGAGCACCGGCAGGACAGGTGTCGGGCGCGGAGCCAGGGAGGACTGTGGGTGGCGAGGTACGTAGCCAGTTGCAGAGCCCACCTCTGGGCGTCACAGTTTACCACGACTGGAAGAGTGTCCAACGTGGAAAGGCGAAAGGGAAGGGTGGCAGTTGCAGTTCATGAGAATAAAGGGGATGACCCTTTAGGGGGAGAGAAGAGGGGAGAAAAAGAACCACATGAAGCAGTTGTTCGGATTGCCAAGGTAGGAAAAAGGAATGGGTCAACTCAGAGAGGTCTGGGCAGTTCATGGAGGGAAGACGGAGCCAAAATGTCCACTGTGGTCCCGAAGCCCTGTTTGTCCCCCCAAAACGTCATCTGCACAAAACCACCAGCGCCAACCTCGGCTTTGTCCCAGATTTTGCAGGGGACGTAGGAGGGAGGCTTTGTACACGGCCCGCAGCCAGGCCTCAGGCCCACACACAGTTGGGATTCCGAGACCCGCTCCCCACCACCTCAGCATCCTCCCTACGTGCATTTAATGTTTGTTGGGTACCTCCCCCAGCTCACACCTGCTTCCCAGCATCCACGGGATTCGTCTCTGTCCGACCTAGAAGCTTCTCAGGGTATTTCCCAGCCAAGATGGGGGCTCTCTTTGAGAACCTAGATCAGCTGCTAAAAAAATACATATATATATACATATATATATGTAAATATTTGCCATGTATCATAAGAACAAAGAAGATTCCACATAGAACCCGTATGGCCTCCCAAAAAGCAAAAAGCTGGGAAAATAATACTCAGGAGCCTAAAAAAGAAACAAGGAACACGTAGAGATGACTATCATGGAAACTATTTTGGTCCACAGGAAAAGAATACCCAGAGCCTTACTCTTTTTCTCACCCATGAGAGGCTTAAACTATATAAAATTCTATCGGGAAAGTACATAAATGACGTTGATTACCGAACAGGGAAAATTTGTCAAACAGTTATGGCGGATATGAGCTGAGCAAAGCCTAAGAGGTTTAAGTGGAGAAAATGGTCCGCAGAGCCGGCTTGTCCCCGCACCCACCCCCCCAGAGGAGAACAGCTGTGGGGAAGGTGTTGTCCCATGGGGAAGGTACAGACGTCCCAGGCGGGCCAGGTCGCAGGCTCCCAGGAAGGCTTATGGAACCTACCTCTCTGTTGGGCACTGCTGAGTGTGCTTTGATTCTCCTGCCCCAGGGAAAGAGGAATTGTTGACAGTGGGCCAGTCCCAGGGGCTGTGACTTGGTGGGCTCTGCAGGGGGACAACA